AACACTTTATTCCCATCTTTTCTTTTAGCAATGACTTGCAATAGAAAAATGCCTTGTGGAATGGGTTCTTTGACTTGTATAATGTTGGAGTTGGTGGCAGCAAATGAAAAGAAGGGAGATCTGCACCAATAGCACGGTAGCACGGTAGCAGGTAGCAGCAAAGTGCAGCAAGCTTTTTTTTTTTTTGATAAATAAGACATAGATAAAACTTATGGTCTGGTGTAGCTAACCCCTACATAATCTGCAGTACACAAGAGATCCACCGCCGGTGGACAAACATTCAAAATTCTTAAGCCATGAGGGGCAAAAACCCCCTTTTTCGCAACAGCGTCTGCAGCCATGTTAGCCTCTCTCAGCACATTCTTCACCTGAACTTGGGGGATCATGTGCAAAAGGGCCCTGCAATCCATAATAAGAGTGCTATAAAGGTGAAACCTGTTGACAGTACCAGTCAAAAGAAGATAAGCAACCTTACAATCAGTTTCAACAATAACAAAGTGGAAGTGATGAGAAACAGCAATTTTGAGACCATAAAGTGCAGCAAGCTAAGTTGCAAATTGAAGAAATGAGGCTGTAATGAACAGAAAATGCAAATGCAAATGCAAATGAAAGGCTGCAAAGCAGCAGCAAAGTACAGCAACATGGAGCCGCACAAATGGCAGCAAATCTATTAGTGTAATCTTGCATTAAATGTTTGGTAGATTTTTTTGTATTAAGTAAAATATCAGGTGAGAAAAAGTTATTTTTTATTGTGTTATTTCTGCTATAAATATAACAAAATATCAATCAAGTATCTTGGCAGAGCTTCCAGGACTGAAGAACCCCAGTTCAAAGCTTCCATCACTAGAAACCAAGGTTCTACCATCACTAAGATTGGTGGATGAGGTGATGATATCAGTTCCACACGAGAATCTAGTGAAGAAAAACAGTAAGAGGATGATGACAATAAAGTTTAAAAAAGGAATGTTCATTTCTTTGCAAGTTTTAATGAATAAAAAAATAAAAACTTTATAGTGGCAGCTTAGAAGAACACTAGTCTTGAATGTTGACTAGTGTGCAAACCTTCCAATTTCTGACAACAGCTCTCTCTTTCTAGCAGTCCCCACAACCATGGAAAAATAGAGTAGTTAGGCATTAATTTCTATGGGCACTAATATTAGCAAGAAAAAAAAATAGAAAACTACAGGGTAAAATACAAAGACTAAACAAGTCAAGAACACCTCATTCCCAGCTTTCCTTTTAGCAAGGACTTGCAATAATAGAAGAATGTCTTGTGGAATGGGTTCTTTGACCTGGATGCTTTATTGGCTTCTTCACCTAAACCAGAATTGTTGTTATCTCCACTGACGTCAACAAGACTGCATCACTGTCCATGTATCCTAGTCATTTGATCCATGAAATGGGGCTAGATAATTATCTCCAATTTTCCTCCACTTTCTCAGTCACCAAACAGAGAGGACATGCAATTACAATGCAATTTTGATCTCATATTCCCGGTCAATATGGATCATGACTTCACCATCCCCAAATACCGTGCCACAAATCCTAACCTTTGAAAAGCCAGCACAAAAATGAACGGTTGAGTATTTAGCAAATAGAAAAATTTAATCAAAAAAATCAAATGGCGAGAAAAGAACTGATGGAAGTTGCTAACAATATTTAATGGCAACATGATTGTCTCTGCTATTTATCATCAAAAGACCGGATGAGTCATTTATCGTGTTACACGCTTTCTATCTTGATAAATATTAATTCAAGATGACACTCTTAAACTCATAAAACTAACTTATTAAGTTCATGATTCTCTAAATCTATATTCTACTTATTATCATCACATTTTATTTGATGTGAGATCCTATCATAACTATTTACCAAGTGAACCTTTATCATGGCAGTTTAACTACAGTATACATCTCAAAATGTATGAGGTGTTGACGAGCATGCAAGTCTTCCTTGATATACTGATAACAACATTTCTTTGTTTTTAGCTTCTTGATTAATTGGGAGCCATGGGCAGTCCCAACTACCCTCCAAAATACTGTAGATAGGCATTAATTTCTGCAAGAACATGATTGATTTCTAGTGTAGAGATAATAATAAGATTAAAATAGAGAGAAAATATTTAAAAAAAAAAACAAAAAATAATTAATGTAAAATAAATTTTTACTAAAAAAAGACACTTATTTTAAAATAAAAAGTGTAGAATAAGCTCTACTCAACAACACTTTATGCTTTTTTTAACATGACATCTAACATAGACTTTGAGTTGAATTGAAGAAAATGGCACTTAGTTACTTAACAACGAAAACAGGACCAGTCTTGCAATTTTACAACCTCATTTTCCCCCACCGCCATATTTAATTGGTTATTAAATTAGTTTGGAATATTCAACTATAGAAGTAGAAATTAGTTCCACTTACCTATTTAGAATATTCAACCATAGAAGACTAGAAAATTGAAATAATAGTTAAGGTATATGGCATGCATTCCTAAACAACATTTAGCAACTTGTGTAGCACAAGTAGTTTTCGAGAAACCATTATCATGGATCCAACACTGAGAGGCTAAGTTCATTGGTTGAAGATAATTCAGGTTTGCTAGATGAAGAATTTG